GGCTTGGGCAGACCATCATTATTGGACCCAAATAAAAAACATCTGCAAGTGGGAAAAAAAAAATGAAAAATGAAAAAAGATCAAGAAAAGAGAAGATATATAAATATTAATTAATGGAAGATGTTATAACGTGCACCCTCAAAAAGATACATATGATATGCTTTTCATAATTTTTTCATAAAATTTCATAACTTAAGTCCAAAATGTCATAATTTTTTCACTATAAAACTCATAATTTTTTCTTAAAGTGCCATAATAAAAATCACAAAATATCATAATATTATCATTTTTAGAGTGCACATCATAAATTCGCTATTTATAACTTTACTATAAAATATCATAATATACATCACAAACAATCATAGCGTTCATCATAAAAAATCATAATCGTTTTTATAATGAACACTATTTAAAAAGACGCACATTGTCAATTAATTTCTCGTTAATTAATAGAGTATGGGTCTGGCTAGTATATAGCCCATGGCCTAAATGTTCTAGACTACGTAAATATTGATGGACATTGCTCCAATCTAAATGGATTGAAATAATAGGCCTTGAAAAGTTATTCTCATTTGAATGGCTTTATTTTGGTAATTTAATCCGTTGATTTTGTAGGTTTCTATGCGTAGACGGTCCATGAAAAAAACTATATTCAATAATGGTAGTTATATTTTTCTACTATAAGAATGATTTAAAAAGAAATCATTTATTTTTATAAAGACAAATATAATGAAATATTATAACTACAATTATTAATTTATCTAATTTTTTCTATGAAAGACTCACATATAGGAGACCTACAAAATAATTGGGATTGAAGTAACCATAGTTGAGCCATAGTGAGCCCTATAAGCCCAACGAGACAGTCCAATCTACAATTATGAACTGGAGAAGTTATGATCTTTATTTTTAGGGGAAATTATCAGGAAGTCTTGTTTGAAAAGCGTATAGTCTATTTAGTCCCATAACTTTTTGCTTATACCCAAAAGTCCTACAACGTTATTATTCTTTTTCTCTGCCTCTCTTCTTCTTTGTCTCTTTTGCTCTATGTGTTTTTCAGCGATCGTTGACGGGTAACCATATCTTGCTTCTTCTCTTTCTCTTTCCAATATATAGTCACCGGTGACCGACGACTACCATCGATTGGGATTCACCAGCAAACACCGACCGCCGACTACTTACTTCACTCTCACCGACAATAAAGAAGATATGTTTCCAATGAAGAAGATGAGTAGATTTACATCAGATCTGATCTAAATTTACATTAGATCCGGCTAGATCTAAACAAAAAATAGTTGCCGGAGTATAATCTTCTCTCTATATTCGCCTCTCTCCTCGATCTCTTATTTTTTTTACATTTTCTCTGTTATACACTTCTCTTTTTTCTGTTCTAATGGAGAAAATTTTTAAGTTTTGAACAAGTTGTTTTCGAGTTTTAGTTACAGGCGGTGAAAACTGTAAAATTTTACAGTTTCAAATTTTTTTGGTGCTGTGTAGATTTACATCAGATCTGAGTAGATCTACATCAGATCCAGCTAGATCTAAACAAAAAATAGTTGCCGGAGTACAATCCTCTCTCTATATTCACCTCTCTCCTTCGATCTTTTTTTTTTTAATTTTTTATACACTTCTCTTTTTCTATTCTAATGGAGAAAATTTTTAAGTTCTGAATAGGTTATTTTCGAGTTTTAGTTACAGGCGGTGAAAATTGTAAAATTTTGCAGTTTCAATTTTTTTGGGTACTGTTGCCGGAGTACAATCCTCTCTCTATATTCACCTCTCTCCTTCGATCTTTTTTTTTTTAATTTTTTATACACTTCTCTTTTTCTATTCTAATGGAGAAAATTTTTAAGTTCTGAATAGGTTATTTTCGAGTTTTAGTTACAAGCGGTAAAAATTGTAAAATTTTGCAGTTTCAATTTTTTTGGGTACTGGAATGAATCATGGTATAAAACTGTAAAATTTTACAATTTCATAACAGTCTTTAGAACTGTAAAATTTTACAGTTTCATAACATGTTTTTCAGTATGATTAATAAGAATAAATGCTTGATAGATTTTTGCTTTGAAACTGTAATATTTTAGAGTTTCAAAACTTACTTTTCAGTTTGATCAATATTGGAGATTATTTGCTTAAACCTTAAAAAAATTAAAAAATAGCATATGTTTTTCCTATTGTTGCTGTTTTTTGTCGTTCCATTTTTTTTTCTTTTAGTTTATCAATATTTAGCACATTTTGTTATATTTTTTTACTCTAATTTCTTCATTTTTTTTCCCGGTGATATTCTGGATATTCCAGTGAATCTCCAATGATGTTCTTAACGTTCTGAACATTCCGGCGACTTCCATTAACGTTCTTAACACTCCGGTGAACTTCCGGCGATGCTCCGGAGACTTCCCGGCGATACTCCGGCGACTTCCCGATGATGTTAAATATTCCAACGAGTCTCCGGTGAACGTTTGACGAAAGTTTGACGGTAGTAGAATGTAACAGTATCTGTAAATTGAAAAAATAAAAAAAATAAGACTTATTGGTAAGTTTCATATATAGGACTAATTGATGTAAGTGTTTTATTTAGAGATTAGATAGATCTTGAACTTTGTATATGAGACTTATTGGTAAGTTTCCTTTATTTTTATTAAAAAAGGGCGCATTGTGTTGACAGTGATGGTACTCTTTTGTGATATTCAGTGCATAAATATAAAAAAATTTAGGGCAAATTACAAACACCCCCTCGAGATTTGATAAAAATACAGATTCCCCCCTGAGGTTTGAGAAATTACAAATTGCCCCCTGGGGGTCAAATTTTCATAACAAATTAGGGGAAATTAGGGGGGAATCTGTATGAAAATAAAAACTCCAAGGGGCAATTTGTTATGGAAATATAAACCTCAGGGGGCGGGATGTAATTTCTCAAACCTCAGGGGAAAATCTATATTTTCACCAAACCTCGAGGGGGGTGTTTGTAATTTGCCCAAAAATTTACTTCAAAAAATGTCTTAAAAAAATCAAATTCATTTTAAGTATAAACTAAGTGACATTAAAAATATTATAATTGAAACATATAATACACAATTTAAAATGAAGTATATATTATATGGGAATGGCTTTCCTCCAGTCCGTGATCAGACTGGAGGGTACTATTGGGCTTGTAAATAAATAGTTTACAAAAATATGATTTAATAACAAAAATATGATGTTACAAAATTTTGATAACATTACGTCAATTTGTGACAAGGTGCACATCATAGACTTTCCCAAGGATTGGTTATCCAATTAAATTAATGAGATAATAATTTATTATATATTCATGTTATTTATTATTCTTTCATGCTTGAAATTATGATTCCAACCTCTCTTAATATTAAAAATTGGCCAATTTTGTCGGATTCAATGTCTGCCATACATGTAATCTGATTTATAAAATTTGTAATCAAATATGCGATTGTAAGTCCTCTATGAATTAACAATCCCAATCCTATACTATAATCCTACTCATTATGAGGCTATTTCATAATGCATTTTACAAAATTCTTAAAAAAAAAAAAAACTTTATTTATTCTCCACTTCATTAGTATTTCATCAATTTTATAGAGTCAATTTTATTGTACAAAAAGTATGTGTGACTCTCTTTATAAAAAATTAATCAAAGATGTATGTATACTTTTTATTACTAAATTATGTTAACAAGAAAAAAAGTAAAATAATAAACAATGAAGAAGCATCATAAAACAGTGATCAAATCAATTATACACTAAGATCTGACTAATAGTTCAGAATTTAACAAAAATAATACCAAAAAAAAAAAAAAAAACTTTAGAAGAAAAAAAAAAAAAAAGACTTTATAATTTTTTTTTTAATATATCTTAAATTCATTCTGAGTTTTTAATTTGTAATAATAACATGTGTTATGTATACATGTGACATTTCCAAAACCAGATCATTGTTGGGTATATTTCACTTTACACTTTTATATTTACGTCTATTTTTATTTTATTAATTTTTTAATTATCTTAATCAATTATTTATAGTTCAACTCAAATTTTAGTTGGGCCAATTTGTATAATGATGTTTTGCGAACTAACTGAGAACAGTTACCTAATAATAGCAATTATCAAAATCATACTTTAGACTTTGTCAATTTTTGAAACGACACATTATATAACTGAGGGGTTGTTTGGAAACATACTTAAAAAAGACAAAAATTAGTTTTTAATTCATTTTGGATCACATCACTTTTCACATAAAAAAAATCAAAAAAATTTAAAAAATTAAAAAATTAACTTTTAACCATTTTTCTAAAACACCTGAGTCCAATTATAACTTGATTCGAGGTTAATACGATTGATTTTCTTTTATTATTTTTTTTTGATAGGAAGAAATTACAAATCAAAGAACAAAAGCCAGAAACAAAACATCAGCCAAAGCATCCACTAAACCATGGGGGACGACGGAGCCAGTCCAAAGGAAGTTGATTTTTGAGGTAGGCTTGCGCAACCCAGTGTGCTGCCTTTTTAGCTGATCTTGGACACCACCAAAAGGAAAATTGCCAATTCACAGCCAAGCATAATGTCACCAATCACAGCCACACAAATAATTAAAACATTATGAAATAAAATGAAACTGAGTGGATAGATTATTTTAGTCTAAAAAAAAAAAAATTATTATAAATTGTCATACCATTCTCTTTATTTTTATTTTTTTTATTTTTATAAAAAATTAAAAAAAACTAATTAAAATGGTTAATTTTCAAACTATTCCTAATTATAAAGTTGGAAAGTGCAAAATATAAGTTGTCCTTCATCGATACATCTTTTGGGGAAGGCTTATAACTTATTTTGATTTGGAAGTCTGTGTCAGATTGTTTGGTATAATTTCTGTTTATAATTTATTAAGCAGAAATAACTTAAATAAGTTGAAAAAAAATTAATTATTTGAATGTTAGGATAACTTTTTGATTATTAACTTTTAATTAAAAAAAAACTCCACTAAACAGGGTCATTGGGTGCACATGGTGAGAAAGTCTGCTTATAGTTGAAGCCAAAACAGACAAACAGAGACACACACAAAACACAAACAAGAGGAGAGTTGTGGGGAGAGATGAGAATGAGGGGTTTGGAGATAATAGCAATCCTTGGAATAGAGTGGTTGGAGGTTGGGTTGAACACAATAAGCAAAGCAGCCATGAGGAGAGGGATGAACAACTTCATCTTCAATGCCTATTCAACAATCCTTGGTGTTCTCTTCCTTCTTCCTTTAACCTTCTTCTTTCACAGGTGACTCAGTCACACCCTCTCCATCAATTCCATCTCTCTCTCTCTCTCTCTCTCTCTCTCTCTCTCTCACATATATACATATACAGGATGACATCTCCTCCACCCCAGCTCACTTTATCCATATTCTGTAAAATCTGTCTTCTTGGAGCTATCGGGTACGTAGGCATGTATCTATTCAGTTCTGCTGCTGCGGACACACCATTTTATGTGCACTAAAAAATAGTGAAAAATGATAGTATCTCCAATTTTATTCATATTTAATATATTTAGTAATTCTTTACTCTGCCTTTATCAAATTATGTGGATGTAATTTTAGGCCTATTCGAGAAGTGTTTTTTTTTTTTAATGAAAAAATGTTTAAAAAAATAGAGAAGTAATTTGATTTAATAAGTTAATAAATTAATATATTATTTTTTTTCTTTTCCTTTCCAAAAAGACCTAATTTTACTATTTTTTCCCCTGTGTTTATTATTTATTTATTTTACTTTTTTGTGTGCAGATACTGTGTACAAATGTTTATGTTTATTGGGATTGGGTATAGCTCCCCAACTACGGCCTCAGCAATGTCCAATCTCACCCCAGCTTATACCTTCATACTTGCTCTGATCTTCAGGTCTGATTTCCATTTAAAATGAAAAAAAATATCATCATCATCATCATCATCATCATATCATTATCATCATTACTAAGACAAACTATACTCATAGCCTTATTAGTCTTTTGTTATTTGGAAAAATATGTGATTCCTCATAAGTAAATCAATCAATAAGAATAAAAATTAATGTAGAAAAATTAAATTAAAGGCAATACAAGAATTTTACGTGATTTTCTTAATGTGAGGTACGTCTACGAGATCGAAATTTGATTCCACTATCAACCAAATAAGTTTCAAACGATTACAAACGAGACACTAATGGTCTCACAAAACCATCCTTAGGTGAATTCCAAATAATCACAAATAAACAAGAGAAAAGACCTCACCAAATAGATAAACAAAAATCTTCCGAAACAGAATTGAAGATGACCCAAAATAACGAACCAAATCAACACCGAATTGATTAACCCGAAATCAATTAGCCGCGGCAAGCACCATATCAAAACTGTAGCTTCCCCAAAGCAAATCCCACCAAATTGATTGATACACCAAGCACACTCACCGAAAAAGGAATTGCTACTGCTACTTTCTGATTTTTTCCCAAAAAAAACTTAAGCCATATATATATGTCTATCTCAAATATTGAGCAATATATATATATATATATATAATTGAGTATTGGATTTTGTAATCAAACTTTAATTGTATCCAAATTAAATTGGGTTTCCACAAATATAATATATAATAATATATTATACATAAACCAAGCCTAATTAAAATTCTTTAACAAACCAATTGGGTCCCACACTCTAATAAGGAGGTATACCCAACAATTCTCCCCCTACCGACTTAGGTGGAGAAATCAACCATACCCGCCAAAGTTCGACACTTTAAATGTTTGTCCCTCGACAAAGTCTTTGTCAACATATCTGAAATATTATCATCTGTGTGAACCTTTTCGAGTTGCAACAATTTCGTATCTAACACATCACGAATCCAGTGGTATCTCACATCAATGTGTTTCGATCTCGAATGAAAAGTAAAATTTTTACTCAAATGAATAGCACTTTGACTATCACAATAAAGCACATACTTTTCTTGCTTCAAACCCAACTCTTGCAAAAATTTCTTCAACCATAACTCTTCTTTACAAGCTTCTGTAATGGCAATAAATTCAGCTTCGGTAGTTGAGAGCGCAACACATTTTTGTAATTTAGATTGCCATGTCACAGCTCCCCTGCAAAAGTCATCAAATACCCCGAAGTAGATTTCCTAGAATTAATATCACCGGCCATGTCAGAATCTGTGAACCCATCAAGCATCAGCTTACCATCCCCAAAACACAAACACATCTTCGAAGTCCCTCGAAGATACCTTAGAATCCATTTTACCGCTGCCCAATGTTCTTTACCCGGATTAGAGAGAAAACGACTCACCACACCAACGGCGTGAGCAATATCCGGCCTTGTACAAACCATGGCATACATCAAAGAACCAGCTGCTGAAGTATAAGGAACTTTCAACATCTCTTCTTTGTCTTTCTCACTTATAGGATATTGATTCGAACTAAGTTTGAAGTGACCTACAAGTAGACAACCAACCGGCTTTGCTTTATTCATGTTGAACCTCTCAAGAACTTTCTCAATATAGCTTTCTTGAGATAACCAAATCAGCCTCTCTTTGTGATCACAAACAATTTTCATACCAAGAATTTGCTTTGCCGATCCCAAATCTTTCATAGCAAAAGACTTGCTCAACTCCAATTTCAACCTGTTAATCATGGTAGAATCTTGATCTACAATTAACATGTCATCAACATAAAGCAAAAGAATAATAAATTTGCCATCCGAAAAATTTTTCACAAACACACAATGGTCCGAAGTGGTTTTAGAAAAACCATTATTCATCATGAAAGAGTCAAATTTTTTGTACCATTGTCGCGGGGCTTGCTTGAGTCCATACAAACTTTTCTTCAATTTGCAAACAAATTTCTCTTTTCCTTTCTCCACAAAACCTTCCGGTTGCTCCATGTAAATTTCTTCTTCAAGATCACCATGAAGAAATGCGGTTTTCACATCAAGTTGCTCAACTTCAAGGTTCATACCTGTAGCCATGCCAAGTACAACCCGAATAGAAGACATCTTTATAACCGGTGAGAAAATCTCGTCAAAGTCAATATATTTCTTTTGCCCAAAGCCTTTCACAACAAGACGTGCCTTGTACCTCAGATTCTTGCCATCATTCTTCAATTTGAAGACCCACTTATTTTTCAAAATTTTTCTCCCCTTAGGCAACTTCACTAAATCATAGGTGTGATTTTCAAGTAAAGAATTCATCTCCTCTTCCATAGCCTTTTTCCAATCACCTTTCTTTGCATGCTCAATTGCTTCTTGATAGCTCTCAGGCTCCCCTTGATCAGAAATCAACACAAACTCATTGGGAGGATACTTTCTTGAAGGTTGTCGGTCCTTTGTAGATTTCCTCAACTCAAGTTGTGGTAGTGGTTCTTGAGTTGGATGTTCTTCCTCAATTTCGGGCTCAACTTCATTTTGAATAGCATCATCATCTACATCTTCAAGAGGTGGCTGCACATGTCCCCCATTTTCATCATCCACCGAAGATAAAGGAGATGGATCCATGTCAATGAGATCACTATTTTTTGGCTCCGGTTAATCACCTTTGCCAAAGTCTTTAATTGTTTGGTCTTCAAGAAACACAACATCATGGCTTTGAATGATTTTCTTATCGACCGGATCCTACAATCTATACCCAAATTCGTCACGCTCATAGCCAAGAAAAATACATTGTCTTGACTTGCTATCAAGCTTGGACCTCTCATCTTTTGGAATGTGAACAAAAGCTCGGCAACCAAACACTCTCAAGTGCTCATAAGATACATCTTTACCGGTCCAAACTCTTTCAGGAACATCACCATTCAAAGGATATGAAGGAGACAAATTGATCACGTCAACTGTTGTCTTCATTGCCTCAACCCAAAAGGATCTTGGCAATTTAGCTTGTGAAAGCAAACACCTTGTTCTTTCTACAATAGTGCGGTTCATCCTCTCGGCAACGCCATTTTGTTGAGGAGTCTTCTTAACTGTCTTTTGGTGCCGAATATCTTGGTTGTGACAATACTCATCAAATGGCCCAATGTATTCACCACCATTATCTGATCGGATGCACTTCAATTTCTGTCATGTTTCTCTTTCAACCATGGCCTGAAAAAGCTTAAATACTTCTAGAACTTGATCTTTAGTTTTTAGTAGAAAAGCCCAAACTTTCCTTGAATAATCATCATTGAAAGTAACAAAATAAAGTGCACCACCATGTGTTCTAACTTTTAAATGACCACAAACATCCGAATGAATCAACTCCAAAACATTTTCTTTTCTAGAGGCAACATTTTAATGAAAAGAAACTTTATGTTGTTTACCCGCCAAACAATGAACACAAGTTTTGAGATGTGTACCTTTTAAACCGGGTAGAAGCTCTTTCTTGAACAATACTTGCAACCCCTTTTCACTCATGTGGCCAAGCCGCTTGTGCCACAATTCGGTAGAAGTATCATCTTCAAGTGCATTGACAACACCTTTACAATTTTTTCTTACATCGAATAAAGTGCATGAGTCTTCTTACACTTAGCCACTACCAAAGAACCCTTTGTGAGCTTCCATATTCCATCACCAAATTTGTTTTTAAAGCCTTCATTATCTAGCTTCCCAGTAGAGATCAAATTGAGGCGAATGTCGGGAACATGCCTCACATCTTTAAGCAACAACTTGCAACCCAAATTTGTTTCCAAGCAAACATCACCCATGCCAATAATCTTGGACAAACCTTCATTACCCATTCGAACAAAACCATAATCTTCTTCGGTGTAGGTAGTGAAGAAATCAACTCGATAAGTCACATGAAAAGAAGCACCGGAATCAATCACCCAATTGCTCTCTTGGCCCACAAAATTGATACAATCATCTTCACAAATGACCATGAGATCACCATTGGTAGTAACTGTTGTTATGTCTTCTTGCTTCTTATCCACACTTTTGTCACGCCTTTTCTCCTTGTTCTTGAGCTTTCAGCATTCCCGCTTCATGTGCCCTTTCTCATGGCAATAATAGCACTCAATGTCTTTCTTTGAAAAAGAACAATCTTTTGATTTATCACGGCTTTGATCACGACCATGAGGAGTTTTACTCCTCACTCTTGTTTTTGCTTCTCACAACAAATGCTTCTGAATGAGAGGAACCTGCTAATTTTCTTCTAGTTTCTTCATTCAACAGGCTACTAGTGACTTGCCCTATTGTGACAACTCCATCGGGCGCCGAATTACTAACCGTCACAACCAAAGTCTCCCAACTTTCGGGCAAAAAACTAAGTAGCATCAAAGCCTGCAACTCATCATCAAAAATATTGAGAAAGTGAGAGAAGCTCAGTTGGGAATAGATCTTGCCAATGTGAAATGTGTGGATGCCAAGGGATTGCAACTGGAACCAGATCATTTGCACCTTACCACTCAAGCCCAGGTTCAACTAGGGGAGATGTTGGCTAATGCATTCCTCCAGACTCTGCCCAGCACCACTTCAGAGTAATGGCCCCAAAATATCTCACAATTTTTTTGGATGGGACCTTTTCCATAGTCCTCATGTTTAGATATTTGAATTTCATAGTTGAGAAGGATATCATTTGATTGTACTAATTTATTAATCAGTAAAGGCCTTCTAATTTTTTCCATAAATCATGTGCTGAAGTTTCAGTAGCGACATGATGAAACACACTGTCATCAATCCATTGACGGATAACACCAACGGCTTTTCGATTAAGCCTATTCCATTCATCATCTTTCATACCCTCGGGTTTGCCAGAATCACCCTCAATGGGTCCATATAAATCTTTACAAAATAATAGGTCCTCCATTTTAGTTTTCCAAGTTACCCAATTGCTTCCATTGAAGCTAGACATACGACCCACATTCCCCTCCATTGATTTACACAAATAAATAGACCAAAATAAAC